CTCTCTCTCTCTCTCCCTCTCTCTCTCTCTCTCCTCTCTCTCTCTCTAGCACATCTCAGAAAGTTGCAAGAGATGTGGCAGTGATGCTTCTGAAGGAGGGGGCGGGGGTATAGGGGGTTTTGTGTGTGTGTGTGTGTTTTATCAAATTTCCTGTGAATTATTAGCAAATGGGTTTATTAGAGATTGCAAACGTTTAATATTTTTATTTATTATTTTTTTATGCCACCCATCTTAGTTTTGAATCTTGTGAGGTGTGGTTCCAGCAAATCGGGAGGGCACCAGATTGGGAAAGGCAGATAGACTAAACAGACCGACTGGCAATGTGGATTCCATCAGCTTGACCTTCTCTGAACAAGTTCAGGGGAACATTCAGGAAGCCACACAGCACGCGGCCTTCTGATTTTTATACACTTTTAATTTTGATGCATTGTATCCTGATTCGCTTGCTCACTTCCTGAATATACCTCTTCCCGTTTTTTTTTCTCCTCGCCACCTGGGACTTCCCAAACACACTCACCACTTAGCCTGTGCTTCTTTTGGCTTATCTAACTGATTAGCTGAGCACTGAAGCTACCCAGTTACTATTTACTCCTCTGTCCCAAAAACTTCTAGCACTTTGCAAGTCAGCAAACAATTACAGGCGGAGAGGAAAAAGCCTACATTCCAGAATGTCACCATTCCAGCACCCTGGTGGACTATTTCAGCTCAGCAAATCTTGCAAGCCAGCAAGTTGACAATCCTCCCTTTTTTTTTCTTTTAACCAGCATACTCAAAATTTGCTTCTCTTGAGCTAGATTGTGAAACATATTGCAGGATGGGTGGTGTGTCAGAGATCCAATGCAGTGTTTTTCAACTTGGCAACTTGAAGCTGTGCGGATTTCAATTCCCAGAATTCCCCGGCACGCTAAATTCTGGGAGCTGAAGTTCACACGTCTTAAAAAGTTGCCCGGTTTAAGGAATCCCGGTCTGTTTCATGCCACAAACCTAGGATGACTTTGCTTTCCCTTACCTCTGAAGTGGGTAGGGAAAAAAGCCCTTTGTTGCTGATATTGCAGGGGTGGCGAACCTATGGCACGCATGCCAGAGGCGGCACTCGGACCCTCTCTGTGGGCACACGTGCCGTTGCCCCAGCCTCGCCTCCCCCCATGACCCCCTCACCAGTAGCCCCCCTGGAGGAGAATCGCCCCCGAGCGTGGCCCACACGGAGCCAAGGACATGGCAGCCAGGCAGCGTAGACAAGACTCTGCCCTCAAGCCCCATCCCGCACAGTTGATGCTGCGAGGCGCGGGCAGAGGGCGTGGCCGCCATGGCGCTGCTGGGCTGCCTGGGCAATCTGCAGCGGGCCCTGGAGGCGGTGAGTGGCCCTGCGGGCAGGCGGGGTAGGGGCAGAGCAGGGGCGAGGCAGGGGGTGGAGTGGGGCGGGGCCAGTTTTTGGGCACGCGGTCTCTAAAAGGTTCGCCATCACTGTGATATTGTATCGTAACCATGGGCATCACCAGCGGGGGTTTCGAATGTCCCTTGTTCCCATCTTTTGCCTTTCCCAAGAGGTCTTTGCAACAAGTGTTGGTACCTTGGAATAAAACAAAGGTAGGCTATCTTAGCCCCCCCCCCCCTTTTTGTGGCACAGTAGCCCTGTTTGCTGAAGACTGACAGCACAGTTTATCACACTTGAAATGAAAACTGCATAGAAATTGTTTTAACCGGCTAGAAGATGAATTAGTTACAGTTAAGAGCAAAGAATTACACTGCTTGAAGTAGTCCATGCCACCTTGCAAAATATTAGCTGGCCACCCTAACATTGACTATTCCTTGTATAGAGGGAAAAATGAAAACGGAGATTCTTGAGCTCCGTGTTTCACACAGGGGGAAAAAGAAACATTCAGAACTTTAATTAAAAGTAGACGAGAAAAAACGTTCGTGGCAATTTTTCGTAGTGGGTACCTTGCAGCATTCATTCATTTTGGAATTATTAGTGGCATTATTGCTAGGCCCTTAAGACATTTTTAACTGCTTAATAAGTGTCATGCAGATTATAAAAGATAACGGCCTCTGCTGTAGATTCACAATCTAACAACCACAACGCAGAGGCAGCAGGAAGAAGACGGAAGCATTAGAGCCAAAATGCCTTCTCTTGAGTAGAGTCAGCTTGTTTAATTTTGAAATAGTTGCTCTTTCTGACTAGAAAGGGCAAAGCCAACTCTTTGCAAACTGCAGTTTCCCGCGGACGAGGGCAGATTGATCTCCCCTTTGCCATAGGAGATCCTTCACGCCTCCAGTCCTAGATCAAGTGCAGTGATCCAGCATGCTGTAGAAAAGATACATGAGTTTTAAATTACCCAGAGTTACTTTGAGTTAAGGAACACAGCCTATAAGTTTTATAAACAAACAAATAACAAATCTACGTGATACAAGAAGTCCTCGACTTACAATCGTAATGGACCCTGCCCATTACAGTTGTAAGTTATGATGATCATAAAGAGGGTAATCCACTTGACCCACCCAGTTGTTAAAAGAATGTTTGTTAAGCAAACTGATATTTCTCTATGGCTGATTTTGCCGAAAACTGCAGGTAAATGTCAGTTTTCAGCAAAAAACATTGTCAAAAGCAGTCATGGAACCCTGCAAACAGCTGTAAATGCGGGCTCGTTTTCAAGCGCCCGGAATGCAGTCACATGATCAGGGAGGGCAGCCTTCAGAATTGTGCTTTAAATACCTCATGGGGAGGTCTGCCTCTTGGGGAAGGCTGCATTAACAGAGGGATAGACTCAAGATCACGTGAAGTGTTAATACAAGGCCTTGGTAAGGCCACACTTGGAATACTGCATCCAGTTTTGGTCACCACGATGTAAAAAAGATGTTGAGACTCTAGAAAGAGTACAGAGAAGAGCAACAAAGATGATCAGGGGACTGGAGGCTAAAGCATATAAGGAACGGCTGCTGGAATTGGGGATGTCTAGTTTAACGAAGAGAAGGACGAGGGGGGACATGATAGTAGGGTTCCAATATCTCAGGGGCTGCCCCAAAGAAGAGGGAGTCAAGCTATTCTCTAAGGTGCCTGAAGGCAGGACAAGAAGCAACGGATGGAAACTCATCAGGGAGAGAAGCAACCTGGAACTAAGGAGAAACTTCCTGACAGTTAGAACAATTAACCAGTGGAACAACCTGCCTCCAGACCTCCAAGGTCTCTTCCACCTTTTTCATCATCATCATCATCATCATCATCATCATCATCATTATTATTATTATTATTATTATTATTATTATTATTATTATTATTATTATTATTATTATTATTATTATTATTATTATTTTCAGTCGTTGAGGACTACTTGTACTGAATACAACTCACAGCGTTTCATATCTTTGGGATTGAGTAACTTTATATAATACAAAGCATTCGTATTGATTGATCTTGCAGAGCAATAAATAAAAAAAACCTCAGGGAACTGGGAAGTTTGAAAATAGTCTTCCTGTACGAGTTTTAGTGTATCTTCAGGTTGTTAAGATTTTATGTCATCATCATCTTCATCACCTATTGTTCTCTCTGCCTTTCCTGTTAAGCTGATCAAGGCCAGTGTCAACAGCGTTCATTCAGCTAGAGTTACAGAAACCAAATGTTTCTTATGCTTCCTTTTTTGTTACAGAGAAATGATATTGCTATGGCCATCACGAAGTTTGATCAATTTGACTTTCTCATTGACATCGTTCCAAGGGATGAACTTAAACCTCCAAAGCGACAGGTGAGGGTGAAAGAGAATCTGTGTGTGTGTGTTCTCTTTATATGTTTGCAATCTGGACCTGATTAATCCAGAAGGAACGTGCTCTGTTTGCCCTTGATGACGATGTCACATGCCCAGATCTGATTAACTATAACTTTGTGATGTTATCGTGGTCAGTGGAAATTAATGAGAGGAAGAAAAAGCTTTTTTTCTTGGTTAAGACTTGTGCAAACAGATCAGCAGAGTCCGAAATGTAATTGTATCCATGGAAAAGAATGTGGGGACTGTTCTATGCAGTCGGAAAGTTCTTTCTTCTCCCAAGATGTGTAAATATTTTGTGTAAACCAAGCTAAAAGCTCAGGTTCCATCTTATTTCTGTACCATATTATGGGACATTAGGTGGATTTATATCTTATTCCCCAAACCAAAAGCTCCCTAGAGCAACTCATAGATCCAATAAATGCAAGAAAATTAGTGTCTTAGATTTGCAATCTAAAAAGACAGCACACCAGGGGTAAAAGATGCAGACACCAATGGAGGATTCTTGCAATGAAACGAACATTGATGGTCATAGACCATGGTCTTTTGGCCAACTGAGATGGAAGCAGTTCAAACAAAGGAAGCACTCCAAAATTCGGGTCTATCAGCTGAACAAGGGTGTGAACCTTCTTCAGTTATCCTTCTTCTGAAAGCCACCGAATATGACTCCTCTAAAGGTATGAGAATGGCCTTCTGTTTCTTCTCCATAGCTCTGCAATCTGATAAGACAAGATTAGGGTTCAGCTGCAGCAAACTAGTGAAGTGGGCTTGTGTGTATATTGTGACATTGTTGTATATATAACTCTAGTTCCCCATGGGGGCTTGCGAGGTTTGTCGTGCTGATTGCGAGCGGCGGCAGCAGCACGATGAGCCACGTGGCCTCCTGCCGCAAGTGGTGGCAGCGGCGTGATGCGCCACGTGGCATGCGGCCGCAGAAGAACGTGGGCGGCGGCGCAACAGTGTCAGGGCATAGGGGGCCTGGCTGCAGCGGTCCTAAAGTAAGCGGGTAAGACATCCCCTGAAAATAAGACCTGGTGCATCTTTTGGAGGCAAATCAGGATTGCACAGTGCCCAGATTTATATGCAGGATCCAGTTGGACTTCAGCTTGTTGAATCCAGTTTGAACTTCAGCTGACTGGAAGGCCTGCCAAACCTTACATTCTGTCTGGTGAATGGAGCTGCTTATTCCTCCAGCTCAGGCAATCCTCCTCTTTCCAGATGTTATGTACATAACAAACATGCTTCTCTTTAGTCTGCTAGTTGGATTTAATGTAGTTTATTCTGCAGAATCCTTCGGGGTTTTTTTTTGTTTTTTTTGCTCTCTTCTCAAATGTAACGTGGTATCGCTGCTGCTTTCAATTCAGATAATTGAATGTTTTAGGGGTTGTGTAAAGCAGTGTGAGGATGGATTTGAAAGGCAGTGTGTGCCCTCCCTGCCCTGGGCTCACCACTGGGTCCTTGATTGCTTCCCCAGCAGGGTTCCTGTTACATAAGCAATAGCCTGTGCATGATGTCACAGGTTTCTGCCTTGTGCATAGGAATGGGACACGTTTTTCCAATGGGTCATTTGCGACGTCTGTATTTTGCCTGGTCAAAAAAAAACCTTTCCCAGTTGACTGGACAAATGCCAGCCAGAGATTTAATAAAGGTAACTTAACCTGTGCCTCCTTGAATGGAGAATTCACGCTGCTGGTGAGCCACCATCTTCCCTAGAACTCCGTGTCTTCCAGGACACTTGACCTGGGAATCGGCCCACGTGTGCAAATACCATGGTTGTCTGGCACCCAAGGGACCCCATCAGGTTGGGGGAGCCTCGTTGCGAATCTATCTGGGCAGTTGTTGCCCCTGTAAACATCCTTGACTGGAAGCTGTGCAGGCTGAGAGGCTTTCAGTCGGATGTTTACAGCGGCAGGCTGCCACCATCCTCCTGAGACAGGACGGGCCCTGGGCTGACACCCGGCCAGCGAAGGCTTCGGATTTGGAATCCATTCAGCCGCTGCTTTCTGTTCAAACCAGCCTCAAAATGCAGAAGAAAATCGGACGATTAAAACCTCTGCGAATGTTCTTCTAGCTGTAATGGTCCTAGCATGGAGTGCTCTTGTGATCTACTTCCAGAGACCTCAAGAGAAGGTATGTGGTCTCTTTCCTTGGCCTCTGAGCGCAACATGCTTTCTTAGGGCAGTGGTGATACCTTTGGAAGACCTCCAGAGTGGAGTTCAGCTGATAGCCAGGACTTCTGACTCAACAAGAGCAACAAACGAAGCACACGTCTTCCTCCTAAGTTAGGTCACCGAAGTACAAAAATGCCTGGGAAAATTGGGGAACCTAGGAGTTGGGGTTGGGGTTGCGGGAGGATGGTGGGAAGAGGAACCGGTGAGCTTAACTGTTGCCCTGAAAACAAATTCTTCAGCTGCTAAATGTACTCCAAAAATACCCAGTTCTGGAATGCTAGTCATATGTCTGGCTCTTCGGCCGTTGCTTTATATTCTGGGTCTGGATGTTCACACAGAAAACCGGGTAGGTCTTCGAAGCCTGACGTTTGCCCCTGTCCTTTATCTAAGGCAGGGCTTTTCAACCTTTTCACCCATTGTGCCACTTTTAGGATATGGCAATATCTGAGTACCACCAGTTGCCAAGCAAAATGTCAAAAACTTGATGACCCAAAAAAAAAAAGGAAAAAAAGTGATAAAGTACAGGTAGTCCTTGACTTACAACAGTTCACTTAGTGACTGTTTGAAGTTACAGTGGCACTGAAAAAAAGTGCCCCCCAAGCCACAGCCGAGCAAGACACCTGCCTGCGGCGCTCTTCCTCCTGTCCGAGGTTTTCATTGTTGTGAGCATTTCTGTTGAGGATTGGCAGCAGGGGGGGTGGGGGCTGTTTGGTTTTTATTCCCCCCGTCTGCTGGGTGGTTGCAGCAGGTTTTGGTCACTTCACATGACCCTGGGACACTGTGACCGTCATAAATATGAATCGGTTGCCAAGCATCTGAATGTAAATCACAAGACCCTGGAGATGCTGCAACATTCCAGCTGATCGGCGCTTCTTCATGGCTCAGGAGAAGTGTCAGGATCAGTGCTGCTTTCCAGCTGATTGGTGCTTCTTCAGGGCTCAGCAGAAGCACCAGGATCAGCACCGAGCTCCAGCTGGAGCCTGGCACTGATCCTGGCGCTTCCGCTGAGCCCTGGCAGCCCTGCAGCTCCAGCCATCTCTCGCTCAGGCTTGTGCGGTGCTGCCACCGGTTCAGCTCATTCCCCTCCCCTGCTACCACTTTTCTAGGATGGTCACGTACCACCTGCCAGGTGCCCATGTACCACAGGTGGTACCCGTACCACTGGTTGAAAAGCCCTGATCTAAGGCATTCCATGGAGAAGCCTCACCCCCCTGGGTTGGGGAAGTTGACTTTTCAGGATTGCTGAGCGAACAGTTTAGTGCCACTGAAATACAGTCCTGTGTCTATGCATCAGCTCCCACTTGTGACATTCAGTGACTACGGAGAAGCCTCGTCCAAATGTTATTCCTTGCTGGTATAGCAAGTATAAGGCTTCCAATTTTTGTAGGGAGGATGTAAAAAGAACAGTGATTCTAGTATAGTGTTTGCTCTCCGGGGGTTTAAATCTCTCCCCCCCCCCCCTTAGAACAAGGCAGACCTTTCCAGCTGGAGGCTCAGAGAAGGGATATATGGCTTTGCAGAAGTATCTATATAACGAATGCATTGCAGTGTCCCTCCAGGGGCCTCGCTTTCGAAGTGGGGAACTTGCAATCTTCCAGATGTTATTCAGCTGCTGTTCTCGGCCTCTCCGGCTTGGATGGCAGGGGAGGGGGGTGGAAATGGAAGGTTCCCACTCCTGCTACATGGTGGTTTTTTTTTAATGTTACACTGTTCCTTCCATAAAAATAGAATGAGCAGTCACACCGATGTTCCAAAGCGCCCTGTAATGAAAAAGGGCTGACTGCAAGCACTCGTTTCTGAACGTTGACAACAGTGTACTTGAAAAGCATTGCAAATCTTTTTTCTGTCACAGCAGACTGACAAGTGTCGTGCAGGTAACTGAGATTTAAGGTTTCTGTCTCCTGGGCAAGCTCAGAGGCATTCGAGTTTGCCAGTAATGTAGGATTCCTAAAGGATCCAGGTGTGCCACGAAGGGCAGGGGGGGAGAGCAAATTTCTTCAACACTGCACTATATGAACGTTCCCAGCAGCAGGGTGGATAGCAGTGCTCTGACGTCTGTTCCACTTTCTCTCCTTGGTAAAGGCCAAGACAGGCTTGCTTTGGTTTCAGAGAAGCCTTGACTACAAATATAGAACAAGCAAGGCGCTGTTTTGTATCTGTCCCCCTCCTGTTGTCCCTTGGGGCCACATGTGGGAATGGCTGCACTGCTCTCCACCGTCAGGTTTCAAGGGTTACCGGTCTCCAGACTTCACGAGCAGATTCAAGTAATTCTCTGCGGCTTTGAATAGCTGGCATTCTTGGTTCACTAAAAAAAAACCCCACCATGCATCGTTATTGATACAACAAATACGAGTCCTTATGGAGCAGTATTAAATAAGGTATCCGTACTGAGTTAACAAAGGGAAAAAGATACAGAAGTATAAAATAAAAAAAGGAGTAGACATCCATTAAGTTTAGGTCTGCAGACAGACTGACGTGAGGTCTTAAAGAAGAGGAACAGAAAGACACGTCCTTATTCCCAAGTCTTCCAGGAAGCTTTAGGTATTAATGTTTCTTTTTCCTTTGTGGACATTTCTATAACTTTATGAAACCACCACAGACCATTTTAACAACCTTTTTAAGTTAATGCTTACGTTTTGTGACTATTTTGTGTTTTTGAGATAATCCTCGGTAGCCATTTGGAGAACGCAGCGATCGCAACTATAGCTACATAAAGAGAGTAATGAAGAGTTTCGTATCTCTGTGATTGGTTAGATCAGTGTTTCTCAACCTTGACAATTTTAAGGCATGTGGACTTCAACTCCCAGAATTCCACAGCCAGCAATGCTGGCTGTGGAATTCTGGGAGTTGAAGTCCACATGCCTTAAAATTGTCAAGGTTGAGAAACACTGGGTTAGATTGAAGAAACAGATTTAATGAAGACAGCTTGGATGCCTGGATGTCTTGTTTTTTTGTTTTCTTTTAATTGCACTGAGTTCTACAAATACGTTGGCTCATTATGGCACTACCTTATCATGCTTTTACCATGTTCCTGAGTCATATATTGCAGATCTCTGGATGAAAATCATACTGCAATAAAATAGTTCTCTTGGGATTCCTATCTTGGCAGTCCTGGGCTGCTTCTGCTTCTGCTTGTTTTCAGCCTGTCATTCCTTAATAGACGCCCCGCTAGTCAAATTTTAGTTTGGAAACAAAATAGAGATGCTTAAAATTGAAATAAGGAGCTTCCACCTACCATCTGACTCCTTATTGTACAAAAGCATATCAAGTATCCACATTAGAAACTTGGGGAAGAAAAGTTAAAAAACAGTTTCTTACGGAGCTGTGACTTTTCAAGATGTTGAGAGCAATCTTGCAGTATTCATCTCCCCAGGAAATGCAGAGATGAAATATATAAAGAGCACTTGGATCGCTTGATATATTGGAGGCAGAAGTCACCTCTCTTCCTGTAGTTTGGAGATTTTTTTAAAAAATAACCCCCTTCCAGCCATTACGTAAAGGATCTTTTTTGGTGCCCTCCAGGTGATGTTGAACTACATTTCCCATCTTATGCTAGACGCAGTGATTTGTCCAACACAACCATCCATAGTTGCGTGCTGTGACCTCTAAAACCTTGAGCCTTCTACCATAGTCTGGCTTAAGAGAGCTCTGATGGGGTTCCTGCTGGATCTTTCTCATCGCAGTTGCCTCTTTCAGGGTGAACAGAGCCTTAACACACACACACACACACACACACACCAGGTCCAAGGGTGCCCTGAAAAATGCAGGAAGCTAATTATGCCGGCTTCCTTCTTTTCCAGCTCGCTGACCAAACAGGAATTTGTCCAGTGCTCATGTCTTGCAGCGACATGACTCTGGTTTTAGATGGAAAGGGAAGAGGGGCGACTCTCGTCAGCTTCCATTCTGTCTGGGCAGCGGCTTCCAACTCTACTGAAGTCAGCAAGGGATTTTCTTTCCCAGAAAGGTTTTTCTCCCACCCTGTAGGTCCAGGGTCAGCTGCTTTGACGCAGGCCGGTGGCTTTGCACAAGAGGTCCTTATGTGCTATGGAGGGAATTCATTCTTGGCAGCAGCGTCTCTTGGCCCTGCCCACCGACATCCTTGCTGGCAAGTGGGCCAGACAACAGTTGGGTAGTGCTTTTGAAGCCGTGATTCATTCAGACTTTGCAGCCATTCCAAGTGCCAAATGGTTTTTTTTTAAATCGTGAAAGGTTGTACTCGAGTTTAGGGGACGTGCTAATAAAAAAAAATGACGCCTGTCTTTTTGAAAAAGTCCCAAGAAGAAAATAACNACGATAGGATTGAAACATACATATAATTGTACATATAATTGTATATATAATTGTATTGTGTAGAAGAATGAGGTTTATATAGAGGTTAAGGATGATGTATTAAGCTTTTGTATCACGAGAAACAAATTGTTAGGAATATTTACTCTGGAATGCCACGTATGTCCATTTTTGTTTTAATTGTATTATAAATAAAAAACTTAAAAAAAACCAACCTTTGAAGATGAGAGACTTCCCCCCCCCCAAACTAGATCTTAGCATCACCTTTGAAAAACGAGTCACTAAGACTGAATTCAGTCCCAGTTAAGGTGAGCATCCTCTGTGCCCTTTTATTTATTTATTTTGCCCCAACCGTTTTGCGTAGAAGGTGGTGGAAGTTAACCTGCCAGTAGCCCTCGTGTGTGTGTGTGTTTCGCCAATTTAACCCTCACCATGTAGCAGTGCGTGTAAACATCCTACACTCTCAGCTGTGACTTTGTGGTGGCTGGGAGAAGGTTGTTTACGCCTCCTGGCATGGACTGGTCCTCTCGGAAATTGTAGCTCCTCGTTTTGACTTGGGGAACTCAAAAATGTGTCTCCAAACTTGTCCTCTCAGCTCATCGTTTGGAGGGAGACAGAGCACCAGGAAAGGTAGGTAGGGAGAGGTCTTGATGTGAGAGTTTGAGCAGGCACTTAAGACAAAAAGTGCTCCTGTTATACTGCAGTAGCCGTTGTACTAAGGTGTTATCCTTACCTGTTTCTGTGCTATGACTGCATTTTATTCTTTGCCTTCGTAATTTGCCCCAAGAACCCCAAATACAGGAAGCTCTTGATTGATGACAATTCGGACCGGGATTTCTGTTCCAAAGCAAGGCAGTTTAGCGCGTCACCCCTTGATTTTGCAACCTTTTTTTTTTTTTTGCCACACAGTTGTTAAGTGAATCACGTGGCCGTTAAGCAAATCAACTTCTCCCATTGACTTTGCTTGTCAGAAGCTGGCTGGGACTGTCACAAATGATGATCATGTGTCCCTGGGATGCTACAGCCATCCTAAACAAATGCCGGTTGCCAAGTGCCCGGGTTTTGATCATGTGACTGGGGGGGGGGGAGACCAGGGCTGTGGAGTCGGTAGATAAATGTTCCGACTCCGACTCCTCAGTTTTTTGTACTTCCGACTCCGACTCCCCGACTCCGACTCCTCTGTATTAATATGTGAATGTATTTTATACATTCCTTGAAGGAAAGAAAGGCAACATACATGCCATATAGTGAAGCACATGAAAAGCATGCTTCTTCACGGTCACTTAATGTGTTCGTTTTGCGGTTACGTGAGGCACTGCATGCATTGGTCTTTATTCTTACAGTAGAGAAGTCATTAATTATAACTTTTTGTGAATTGGGACATTTAAACTTGCTTTTTTTTAATTCCAATCTAAATTTAGTAGGAGTCGGAGTCGGTGCATTGTTTGCCGACTCCGACTCCAGGTACCCAAAATTTCCTCCGACTCCACAGCCCTGGGGGAGACTGTGATGGTTGTAAATGCAAGGACCACTCATAAGTCACTTTTTCTTTTTCAGTGCCCTTCTAATTTGGACCAGCCGCTAAATAAATGGTTGTGAGTTGAGTACCGCCTGTAGTTTTAAATTTCAGTGACGTAAGCAAATGACATTTTGCATCAGCTCGTTGGCCTCGCTCTTTCCTTTCATTGGCCCGGAAAGCTTTTCCCCCAAAATAGCAGACCTGTTCATTTCTTGGATGCTCCTCATTTTTCAAGAAAGGAATAGAGATTCAGCCACCAGGCCTGAATATTCTCTTAAGATGGGAGAAAATAAAACAGAGTGGAACAGATGGTTGATGTGCAGTGTCCCAAAAAATATATATTAAAATACTAGTCAGAGGGGAAGCAAATCCTGACATTTGTATACCTTTAATCCTAATTTTCCCATGCCTGTTTGCATTTCTGCTGGAATCCCATGTTTCAAGCTTAGTTTACTGTATCTGACCACCTTCTTCTCCATTGGCCTAGGAGGAGGTACGCCAGGCTGTGACTCCGGCAGAACCCGTCCAGTACTACTTCACTCTGGCCCAGCAGCCAGCAGCTGTCCAAGTCCAGGGCCAGCAGACGGGCCAGCAGACAACCACATCCACCACCACAATCCAGCCCGGGCAGATTATCATCGCTCAGCCTCAACAAGGGCAGGTTGGTAGGCTGGCTGGCCTTTCACAGCTTGCACGCTGAGTTTGGGGAGCAGGTGGAAAAGTGGCATCAGCTGCCCTGTGATTTGTGAAGGAGGCACGATAGGCTGAGATCAGGCAGCATGTTAAAGTTAACAAAATGCAATATATGCTACATTGGGGTATCTTGCTGCATTCAAATTTAAAAAAAACAACAACCCTCAAGGTATTGTGGCTTAATAGATAGACCAGGTTCTTCCAACATGCTGTGGTTGCACTCGTACAATGTGCTGAACTGCAAACTACCCAGCCCTGTTTTAGGCTAGCCTTAGTGCAGGGGTAGTCAACCTTGGCTCTTTTATGACTCGTGGACTTCAACTCCCAGAATTCCTGAGCCAGCTAAGCTGGCTCAGGAATTCTGGGAGTTGAAGTCCACGAGTCATAAAAGAGCCAAGGTTGAGTACCTCTGCCTTAGTGTGTCATAAGTACCGACCTCATGAGGTTGGCAGAACTGCAAAACATCTTAAATCTCACGTCAACTCCTTAGACTTGCAGATGGAAGAACTGCCCAATGAGGGCGGGGATGGGAATGGAAGTATGGTCAGATTTCTCATTGCCTTCCTAAGTGAGAAGCAAAGAAAGGAGATGGTCTTTGCTGCAGACCCTGTTCTCTCTCCCTGGTCCTATTGGCGGGGACTACATGATGTTAGAGTTCCAGCAACATCTGGCTGGCCGTATGTTGTCCGTGTTTCCTGTAGTTTAGTTATTGGAGCAGATCCGTAGGCTGTACCTGTAGAGAGTAATCATGCTCTCTTCCTTAATGTTGGCAGTCATTTTGGGACATGCAATCCTGGCAGCCCTTGTTTTACAAGGTCAGACTGGAGCTTCCGTTTCATTTCATTCAAGTCCACCTTTGGCTGTTTGGCCACTATTATTGCTTGCCAAGATTATTCTCAAG